ATATCGATAGTAAATAACTTTATGTTAATCACTAGTGTGATATGTCAAATTGCGCATTATGGATGTCTGTTATAGTTATGATTGGAGCGTTCTGATTGGCATGTTTAAAATACAAGTGTGTGCATATCTTTTGTATAATTGGTCTAATTATTCGTCTGATGTACGGCGGACTAAAAGTGGGGCAAGACTGGCTACATCGGTTTTCGTACAAAGGATGCATGATCGCCTTTCTAACCTCTTTTCCGTGTTCTGTGGGAAAAATGGTTATTTTCCAACGCTTTTATTAAATTATTCAGTATGTTTTAGTAGCGAATAATGTGCATTGTGATATTGATCAGCGCTCGAAATGCATTAGCGGAATATTCTCGATCCAATAATTGAAATGTCGGATTCAAGTCATTATTAAAATACGTGTTCCAAATTAAACGTGTGGTGCAAGTGACAAGCGAGAGTGATAAAAATACATAAATAATCGATAAATTAATTATTATTTTAGTAAATAAGCGAGATAGCAATAATAACAATATTTCCCGTAGCATATTAAACGACCACTATTTGCTGCGTATGAGATGATATCGGATCCCATCTCAGAGTACCAGAGACAAAGTGGATTTTTTAAATATTTTTCATTAAGAATATTTTCCAGTACAGCATTGCGAATGCAAAACTGTTTAAATAAAATAAGTTCTATTTTGTCAAATGTAAAGAAAAAAAAAACTTAAATAACACGAAATTACTTAAATAAAATGTACACGTAAGTTATGACAAATGGGGAATGCAATCTCGCGAGATTAGGACGAGGGTGAGATCTCGCGAGTTTATGAATATCAATACCGCGAGATCTCGCCAATTACGAGATCTCGCGAGATTGGCATTTTTGTGTGTTTACTGCTTTACTGTAATATTTATTCAACTCATAATATTTGGATAAATTAGAAAAAAAGAAATAGAATTATAGGTATAATGAAATAAACGCTTTTTTAAGGGGAGTTTCAATAAAGTTTTATGTATTTAACATTGATTGACGCAATTATATTTTTTTTATCTAAAACCTTTAAAAGAGCAATTACTGTATTATAATCTCGGAAATGGCTCAAACAATTTTCATGACATTAAGTATGCAGGGGCTTTCAGAGGCGATAAATCGATTTAGTTAGGTTTAATTTTTTATTTTATAAAAGTGCCAAGTAAAGCTTAGTCCTCCAGGTACTAATCTTTTAAGAAACTAAACATTGACGTATCTTATCAAATACAAAATGAAATAAACAAGCAGTCTTCTCTGCTAATATCAAATTTAAAAAAGATTTATTATAATAGACAGTTTTAATAACAAAAGTACAAAAACTATACTACTATCATGAACTAAGTTGAATTGACTATTTAACTGAGATTATTATCAATGAAAGAAATCTAATTATACCCAGAGATCTATTAGAAATTAGAGAATAAATTAACAAAATATATAAATCGATTTAAAGGCTTATTCGGTTTATTTTAAACGTCATTATTACGAATAATTTTGAAAGGAGCTTCTTAAGCAGAAAATGTTCAAAGCAACTTTGCTATTCGTATTATTATTGCCTGGCCAGATAACCAGCCACCGAGAAGACCCTTTCGAAAATACAAGTACTGTAAAAGTTTAAAATTTCGCCTTTTAAACCCCCGGAATCGCATAAATTCGTGCTGCCGCACTTAGAATAAATCGGAAATTAGAAATTTTTATGCTCGAGTGCAATCTCGTTAAACTCGCGAGATCTCGCCCATTTTTCGACCGAGATTAATCTCGAGATTGAGATTGCATTCCCTAATGACAACGTTGTATCCATCACATTAAGCATAAAGACAAATATCTCGGCAAAGACTGCTTTAATCTCCCTGTCTTATTTCATCATACATTCATAAGGAAAGTTCAATTAAAAAACTATAAACTAATCTTTATTTTTTCTAGTCTGGGCATTATGGTATGGCGTAATTTCCATAACACATGTGCTGAAAGTTACTTAACATTTAGGTCATTTATGTAGCCAATACTTACATTTGAATTGCAAGATAAAAGACAATCGCGTTTTTTCGTAACTTGCACCATTTACTCTTTGCAGGAGATCGCAGCGATAAGTCCGCCTTTGTAACGTCTAGGACAAAGGTCCTCGATTGTTTCCGACGTGAATGCCTCGTGGAGATCACAAAAATAGATTCGGCTAACTGTACATGACTGTAAAGACACCGTCGTCGTCGCGTCGGCAAAAATAAGGGCAAAAGATTTGTTGGTACGTCAAGCGTTCGTAAAAAGATTTGAGAGCGTTTTATATAAAGGTTACACCGAAAACTGGATTTGGTGTGTTTTTAAACTATGTAACAAAAAGGGGAAGATATTTTTTGTGCATAGCCACAATGATAGAGTACAATTTAAAGATGGTCTCATGAAATAAGTGGTTGATAGACGCTTTGGGGTTAGAGATGGGCAAAGTGTTTTTATTTGCCCGATAAATGCCCGATAGGAGGGCATAAAAATAATATTGTTTAAGACAAGATTTATAATAAATAAAGAACTATATTAATGATTCAGCTATTAATATTGAATTATTTTAAAGAAATGAATAATTTCGTATAGATTATTATGACGCAAATAAGCTCGTAATCTATCTGTATATCTAAAAGCGAATCACTTATCATGATATCTCACAAACTATAAGTGCTAGGAGTGTCAAGTTTTGCATGCGGGTTTATTTTAGGATGTAGGTACTCATTAAGACGGGATTTTACGAAATTCGACCACTAAGTAAATTAGGGGATGAAAGTTTTTATAGAAGTTTCTCATTTCTGGACTTAAAACTAGACCACGCGGGCGAAGCCGCTGGTGGATGGCTAGTCAATCTATACTTTAAATAGAACTTGTTCTGATAAATTGACTAATTCATCATAGCCAAACATAAACTGTTGAAGTTGGACCCATGATCTTTGGTCAACGTTTTGTTATTTTGTGTAGTTTATGTGTCGTATATACTAAGAGAGGATTTTTGGAAATTAAACCCTTGAAGGGGTGAAATAAGGGTTGAAATCGAAATTAAGCCCAGCACTAGTAGCTTGAGAATCAATTTGTCTACATCAAACATTTCTCGAGTCGAGCATGAATACCGTATGACCCAAAAACGACGCACGTAAAACGCTCGAGTTCATCATGCTTCGCGCGCTGGATGATGTGTCAGGCTGACAGACCAATTGTCAGGGCTTCATTTTGATAGATCGATCAAGGCTTAAAGTTACGAGGTAGAGCTGCAGGGTTAAAGTAAAACCCTCTTCGTAAAATGAATGTATGTCAAAATAACGTGGACCATTTTGTGAAAAAGCCAGGGAGTGGACGTACGAGCGGATTTAAAAATGCCCACGTTTTCTAAAATGGAATGATGCTGGCAGCCTAAAAGGCTAAAGCTAGCTACATAAATGGGACAATTTGAAATTTAACTGAGTTAAAAAAGGAGGAGGTTATCAAATCGACTGTTTGTTTTTATATTTATTTTTTATTTATTCTTTATTGCCTAACTAAGGACGAATGGCGGACTTAATGCGCTAGAGGCATTCTTTCCCAGTCAACCAGTTAGATTGTACAGAACAGTAGTAGGCGGTAAAGATTAAAAACCGTACATAAAATCGTAACTATAAGCATTAGCATATATACATACAATACATATACCTACGCATATATACATAATATTAATATACATACATTTATACCGATAGCTTCCTATTTTTCGTCAAAGGCAAGACTTGAAAAGTGTATTTAAGCTAATGGTATAATAGCTTCCAACACTAATCCATGGATATAGCTGGGATATTTTCAAGTTTTTCTTACTTTCTGTTTTTTTGACTATCTTTGTAAGAATGCCACATGCTTTCCAGCCTTCGATCAAGAATATAACAAGATAACCCGTCCCATACTAAAACAATACTCAAATATGGCACCAAACTATAGACTATACAGTGCGACAACCAAGGAACATTATACAACAGAGTATATTCTGTGCTAATACGCCAGGTATAAACTGAGCTCCGGAATTGGGTAAGTATGGAGTAACATTGTTAATTTTCTTTTTACGTGTAAAATATATAATAACGTAAACATAAAATATACGTGTAATTTATTATATATGATAATTTAGGTTTTCAATTTAAATAACAGTACAATAAAAAATCTATTTCGGTTTTCAATTATTGTTCAAATTTTTGGTAAAAAAATGTAATAGTACACTACTCCATGTATGTGCTGTCTTCTTCTTTTATTAATGGCTTATCTGCGCATTTCGCACAATTCTGCCAATGTCAAGTAAATAAATTAATTTCTACATGTAAAATGAAAATGAAATGAATGAAAGAGAACATCGAATATTTGGCCTTCTATTTTTGAATGACTGCCATGTTGGCGTGTGGTTCGGGTCAGAAACAAAACTCGGTTATTTTATTGAAAATACTTTGATTTTTATTAATTATAGACATTGTTAAATCACATTTATGACTCGTAAATATGATATTCCAACAGTTACATTTTTATCCCGATAGTTATATTTGAAGTTTTAATACGCACTGTGGCATCGTAATATGTCCGAACGTTGGCGCTGTCGCAAACAAACTAAATCAAAATAAGACCTCACTTTGAAGTGCGGCGTTATTACTCTGACCGGAATCTAGTTGTATTAGAAAAACATATTGGTTTCCTTCTTTTATTATAAAATTTGTTCTCTATTTAATCTTCACATGAAACAATTTTTGCAGTTGTTTTTATGGCAAAGTGATGAAAAATAAAATATATTGCGTCAGAAAATATTTTTTATTAATTTATGTTAAAATAGCAGCTATCGAAAGACTTGTTTATCGTTACTTTAGTACTTGTTTTTCTGGAGTTATTTACATTTAAAATTGTTAAAATATCGATTAGCTTTGTATATGGAATACAAGACACATCATATTTTATGTGCTATGAAATAAAATATAATTGAATCTACATTCTAGTTCCAAAAATTCTCATAAGAATTCGCGTAATCGTAGTTATTAGAGTTCGTTTTTGGTGCCATATCGTCAGTTGATTCATAATTGGTCAAATCGAACTTGTCCGCTAAAAATGCGTCTGGTGCAAATGTGGTGGATTTTTCTGTCGAAAAGAAACTTTCTATTCTACTAGTTGTAGGAGCAGTCGAGGATTCTTCCACGGCTGCTTCTGTTGTTGTTTCTTCGTTCTTTTCTGTTAATTTTTCAATATCTTTATTTGTTGCAGAATCTTGATTTGTATCTGTTCTGTCTGTGTTTTGTGGCATTGAATAACAGTACCCGTCACGGAAAATCCAGCCATGTGGACAGAGAAATATTTGAGGGACCAAATGTCCTTTTCGGGATAGGCAAACATAGTAATGATTGGGACTTAAGGGCAGTACCCCATTTTGACGTATTGCTGTGCATTCTGGAACGAGTTTGGTGCTACACTGTCCCTTTCTAAGTTTTATCTGAAACGGGTAAATTGATTTTGAGTCAGTTTTCGTGGCTTACTTTTAAGGTAAATTTCACGATCATTAATTGAACATTTTATTATTTATTTGATTACCGAGCATTGTGCAGTTGAAGGATTATAGCCGTAATGTCTTGGACATAATGCAGTTCGGTGATCAGCTGGTCTTCCCAGTGGTGATCCTTCAGGCGGAGAACAAAGGTGGAATTTTCTGCAGTCGTGGGCATCTGGGAATATTCCAACCTGAAAACGTGAAAAGAATCTATTGTGCTTTATAATTAATTTGTTACGATACAGTAAAGTGGAGACTAATGCATATAAACATCTTAATCATCTGAATTAGCTAAGATATTTTTTAAACGAACAATTTATAATATATAAGAAAATTATTGATGCTAAATGTAGAGAATAGACAATATCGTTCTATCATCAAAAGTGCAGAGGTTTGCGAACTGTTTTTAATTTATCCCCCGTTATAGGAAGTTGAGATGCCAGATTTATTATGCGGCTAGCACCTTGACCTTTACGATAACATCTTCACGCGTGGTCTCATCGATTCAATTGTCGGGATATACGTATATCGAAGTGCTGCTAAGAGTACCGTTACAGATGGGACGTATGCTTCCGCAAACGATATCAAAAGACTTTATATTTACACCTGCTATCAGTGATTTATTTATATTTTTGTCAGTATTTCATAACACACGAGCAATTTATTCCTTTTATATAAGGGCTTTTGCGATGTAAACATTTTTTAGCTTTACGAATCCCTTCTTTCAAAATATTTTATACGCTTTCAGTCCTATGGGGCCGTCCATTAATCACGTGATGTTTTTTTTGGCATTTTTTAACTTCCCCTCCCCCATAGTGATACATGGTGAAGTTTAAGACTAACCCCCCCCCCCCCCTCCCTATATATCACGTGTATTTTTAGTACTTACAATGAATCTTAATTTTCTAATTGTATTATAGACAATTAAAGAGTACAATAATGTCTAGAGGTAGACGTTTGACGAAAAATTTTATTTTATACACTTATTTACGCCGCTTTTCGGTTAAGTATCGCGCGTTTGTCGAAAAAATAAATACACGTGATATGTTACTTCACCCCCCCTCCCCCCTTGTGATATTTCGTGACTTTTTTATGGACCCCCCCCCCCTTTCGAGCCTCACGTGATTAATGTACAGCCCCTATATTAAGGGTCTGTTGTTTAATTGTTTTACAGACTATTAGTACTTTGATCCATAACACCTATATCAGGACAGTATGCAGAGCGGTAACCATTTCTTTTGTGAATTCATTGAAATAATTAAAGCCTATTATTATCATACATTTCCACTATTCTCCATTTATGCAAAGGGTAGCTTTAATAGACTTTCGGGTTCGGTTTGGTTTTTTAATGCAAATTTTGTCTTGGTAGATTTTTAATTTATTGATCTATTACTTTCACGAGTATTTTTAATGAAAGTTTACACTTTTAATAATTATCATATTTTTAAGTATTTACTTATAGTAGCTGCTTAATATAAATATTTATAATAATATAGTGTAGGCACTGTTCATAATAGGAGATAAAAGGTAGAAGAAAGACATCTGGTCGAAAAACATAAGGCTTGATTCAAGGTGAAGAAAATACATGATTTCTTCACCTCTAATAATATTTGGTCGCCTGCATCCTAAACTGAATCTCACATAAGGAAAACTCGATAAAATAGTTGGAATGATTTTATAACAATTAGTTACCTGTTCGCAAACGTGTTTATATTTCTGGGTTATGTCTTGGCACTCTGGTACGTGCTGGTCAGAACATTGGCTTAAGTGGGCGTTGCATGTTTGTCCATTAGAACATTCTTGTAGGGGGACCTGGAAGATAGAATCTACTATTTTATATACGCTATAAAGTATCTATAAATTAACCACAGGAGGAAGGTTGTCGAAGTTAGAATTGACTTTTATTTAAGTAACCAAAAAGCTTTATTTGGCTGTTCAAATAGTATGTTGGATTATGTTTTGGTTGAAAGTTCTCATATTTTTCTTTAATCCTGACAAAATGTTGTGGATTATATCAATATGTCTCAAAGCCACTCAGAGGGCGATGGAGAGGGCTATGCTCGAAATTTTTCGGTGAGATCAAATTATAAATGAGGAGATTCACAGACGAATCAAGGTGATCGTCATAACCCGAAGATTTGCTAGCCTGAACAAGTAACGGGTAGGGTACATAGCTCGTAGAACAGATGACCGTTGGGGCCAATAAAATTCTCGAGTGGACTACGGACTGTAAAATGGAGCGTAGGTCGACCTCTCACAAGAATAACCGACGATCTGGGGCGCGACCGTCTAACTCATGGACGTTGCCGTAGTCGTAGCTATAACCTACGCTTTATCGATATTTCTTATGAATCTGTTTATATTCTTTTAAAATAAATTGTTTTTTTTTATTTATATATTTTATCTAACGTTTTGGTTTGTTTTTTTTTCGAAATAGCATTGTTTGTATCGATTCGACATTTTATAAATTTCGTTTAACTTTAATAATTCAGCAAACAAAAACAACTGAAAGCATTAATTAAATATGTAAATAATAAAAAATGATTAATTTTAAAACAATATCAACAGATTCATGTGTAAAACCTATAATGCGTAGGTTATAGCTACGACTACGGCTACGTCCATAAGTTAGGCGGTCGCACCTCTGATCAGGATTGCCAGAAAGCGACGGATGAGGACGTGCAGATATTTGGGGGGCCTTTACCCACAAAGTTTTTCGGCTGATATGATGACGTTGTGACGAGACCGGCAATATCCCGTCGCATTAGGTATTGAAAAAAACTATGTTTTCGCAAAACGTTAAAAAATCGAGCAAATTAGACTGGGAACAAATAAGAGAAAAACAATATACGCCGTCTCACCTTTTCCTTTAAGCGATTTACATACATACAATTTCACAAAAATAGTTGTTTTGATTTCAGGTAAGATTTTCAAATATATATTTATATCATACTTAGACGTCAGCGAGACTCGCAATCGAATAATGCCGGTTGTTTATAATAGTTTTTATAGTGAAGTGCGCCACTGCGCACACGCAGGTTTCATATCGATTAATATCGGTCGAGTTTTATGACTCGAGAAATTCCCCAAGCAACCCAACCCAGGTTGACAGCTTGTATGGGGATTTCCATACTTGTTAATTTCCCATACTTCACCATGAATAACAAGCCAAACAATTAAACGTTTTGAGAAAAAAGAAAATGTTGGGAACCCATTTTATTTGTTTAAATTATAATAACGATACAGACGTTGACATAATATTAACACGTTTAATTATGTTGCGGTACCTTTAATCCTTACCTTCAAATAGCCAACAGGCAATGGTACGCATGTGATCGCGTGTGTACAGTTCAAGCAAGCGAAGCCAGGCTCCGCACATATTCCTTCCACGTCCAGCTCGCCGTTACCCAGCGTCATACCCAACGGTACAGCAGCCATGCGATTACCGGATATCACACCGCCCAAATCGAAGGAACTAGTCAACTAAAGATATTATCATATTATAGTATTCTGTATATGTACAGTACATCTATGTATATATACATCTAAGTACAAAGTAGCTCGATGGTATAGTGGATAAGGTCCGCAGCCCACGATCGTTGTTACTAAGCAACTTTCGCAAAGATCGTTCACGGGATGGGTGATTAAAAAAGTATTATCTTGAGTTACTCCGTGCTTCGGAATGTACGTTAAGCCGTTGGTCACAGCGTCATTTGCAGTCGTTAATACCCACTTATCCACATTGGGTCAGCGTGGATGGTTATGACCCCTCCTCCTTTACCATCCATAAAAAGGCCTGAGCCCCTGCAGACGTAAAAGGGGTGATGATGATGACAGTATATCTATACAAAAGATTCCTTATGGTATAGACAGAGATGATAGAACGCCATAAAATTGGAACGGCACTACGTTTAAATGCACGTGATTAGGTGAAAATTCAAAACCGAATACATTGCGGCTCCTGTTTTCAGCCAGCTAGTGCGTGAGCTTATGTAGAAGGCTATGTATCACATCTTCTGCGGTTACAGACATGACATTTAAAAGTAGTGTGATATGAGCAGGGGGCAAGGTCTTTCTTTACATATATTTTTTGTTTATTTTACATTAATGAAATGTTTTTATGAAAGTATGGCATCTGACTATATATTTATTGTATAAATTTGGCTAAAATTTATAAATTTATCAGCTGGTGTTTAAAATTAAACATCAGCTGATTTCAAGAGTTCTGTATTAGCAACGAACTTTAACATGAACTTATTCGATATATATATTTTATAAAAAGCAAATGTAAGTGTGATTAAAATTTTACTTAACGCCATCTACTATACTAAATTATTATTTTAGTTATACATTAGTTGAATTGTATTGTAGAATTGACTATAATTAAAGAAAACAATTAAAAATATACACAAGGGAGTGTCACGGCAGTAGTACATCGGTGGTTGGTAAATAATATGTCAACACACGACATTGCATCCGTCCGAAACTGACTCAAAAAAGAGAAAATAAGGTTTATTGAAATCGTCAGCTATTTGTCAGCTTGCACGAAGTCGATCAATGGAATGCTTCTTTATATTTGCTTTTTCTACATGCTGCAACTTATTACTATTTTAATTTCAGCTTTGTCTCAATCTAAAGCAGTCATAATACTGCACACGGAAAGACGTAGGACCATTTTACTCACAAAGGAATGAAAAGAAAAGTTTGTATGCAGAATTATTTATTTTGATTGTGTGTTTAGTGGTGGATAAGATACTACTTTTTGCGTAAAAACTATTCATTATATTTCATGATAATTTTAAATGAGTGGAGATTGATTGATAAAAAAATGGACTATTGGAAATATGCATTGTACAAAATATTAATTAAATTGATATTAAATTGAATTGATTAAATTTTTTACACGACTACTAAAAAGGGTGTACTGTATTTAGGGTTAATACGTTGTAATGGTGTACCATAATACCACCGTTTATTTTTCCTAGGTTACAACATGTAAAAAATGTCTTTGATATTTAACGTCATTTCTTTTTAATATTCACCTTTCGTAATTTAAAATTTTGATTATTCAAATATACTCTTTATGGATGTCAGTTTATAAAAAAATCATCTGTTGTAAACATGTTAATCACACATATTATAAATCATATTAAATAAATAAAATTTTATTAATGACTGTTAATAATAATGAATGAGTAATTAAAAAAAAAATTTATAATATAATTAAAGTGTATTCTGTTACTTGGACGATCCAAGTTTCTATCAAGAAACCCAAAAAGTATTCGTTTTATTTGGTAATTTTAATTTTATATTTAGGCAACTTACAAATTGTTTTTATTTTTACTTTATTTGTTTGTTACAGATTTTTTACTTTATCCTTTATCCATCACCACACCATCACCAGCCCTTTTACGTCCCCACTGCAGGGGCTCAGGCCTTCCTTATGGATGGTTAAAGAGGATGGGCCATGACCCTCCACGCTGGCCTAATGCGGATTGGAGGGTATTAACGACTGCAAATGCAGCCGGGACCAACGGCTTAATATGCCTTCCGAAGCACGGAGTAGCTCGAGATAATAATTTTTGGTCACCCATCCCGTGACCGACCCTTGCAAAAGTTGCTTAACGATTACGATCGCGGGCCGCGGCGCTTATCCACTACGCCACCGAGCTACTCTACTACTTATCCTTTATACCATAAATAAATTCATTCTCAAGCTAGTCAGCCTTTCATTAATTGGCCCAAGCAACTAACCAGTCACAACGTATGTAAGTTTCATGATTACACCATAACTTTGAAATACTAATCGGATATCGATGTATTATTTGAAACGTTACATTAACATATATTTTTTAAGTGTTTGATATGGTGGATGTACGAAGCCATTTCAAAAAATATGAAAACCGTTTTTTCCTCACAACACAACAAAAAAAGAATAAGCGGAATCGGTCCAGTCGTTTACGTGTGATGGCGCAACCAAGGTAAAAATAGGGATTCATTTTTATATATTAATATGTAAGCTTAACTCTGCGGTTGACAAAGAGACACATGCTATTGGTTTTAATATAGCTCTCCAACGCCTCTCTAAAATGTGAGTATTTGTTGAGTCCATATTTACGTCACTTAGGATATTTGCGAACAAACATTTTCCACGTGAAGATGCGGGGAAACCGCTGAAGCAGAATCATTGCCTTTCTCACCGCTAGAAGTATAATCGTTATAAACTATAGTTACGTTTGATGTGTAGTTGTAAAATACTTGAAAGTGTGATCAATCTTATGAAGTATTTATGTACTTATGGCTTATCAAAACCAGTTTCTTTCTAATTTTTAAATTAATTTTTAAGACATCATAAAGAATCCTAGAACCAAATGAATTCTTGGTACACGTATGTGTACCAAATGAATTCATTAAGTGCCTCCTATCTTCATTTAGGGGGTAAATAAAAAAAATTAAAAAATGTAAAAGGTTTATTGAATGAATGTCTATCAGCTAGTTATTGTTCATTAAAAAATTTGACCATCCCATGTCTATTAAAAAATTGTAAATGAAAGTGTTACCAAAAATTTGGGAATGCCCAACTTTATAAATACTTTTTCAAGTTACTTATCAGTTTATCTCAAGAGAGTAAAAATACTTAAAAGTTCTAATTAAGTATTTGTTACAACTTACAGTGCTTGTACATCCAAAAACACAAATTATAACAATCTTTAACCACATGTTTAACGTTTTAACACTTTTAGTAGCGATTGGAGTAAAACACTACGATGTTTGTACGAAAACACGTATGATCTGTTTTTGGGGGTCGCCCATCTTTGACCCTATTATCTTGGAAGTCAGATAAGAAGTTGACATCAAAATTTATATATGCTAGTGTAATTTTGTTGGGAGTTTATTCATAGAACAATTTTGGTCATCATTACAGCAGATTATTAGCCCCCTTTGCTAAGTTTGACTTTTCCATAGAGACAGAGAGAGTGAGGAGGAAGAGATACGACGTGAAGATAAAGATACAGAGACAGATAAATAAACAGAGAGAATGTACTTTTGTAGTGTGTGTACACACAATCAATCAATCAATCAATCAACAGCCCTTTTACGTCCCCACTGAAGGGGCTCAGGCCTTCCTTATGGATGGTTAAGGAGGATGAGCCAAGAACCTCCACGCTGGCCCAATGCGGATTGGAGGGTATTAACGACTGCAAATGCAGCCGGGACCAACGGCTTAACGTGCCTTCCGAAGCACGGAGTAGCCCGAGATAATAATTTTTTGGTCATCCATCCCGTGACCGACCCTAGCAAAAGTTGCTTAACGAAAACGATCGCGGGCCGCAGCGCTTATGCACTATGCCACCGAGCTACTCACACCCATTCCTCATTATATATATAAGCAATTTTTTTACGTATAAACACATTATTATAATCGCAGTCCGAGTATCATTTAGACACCCGAACCTTCAACACTGCACTATAATCCGTCCATAGAGTAGGCCAATACAGATTTTTGTGTTCTAACGACTGCAGATGTAGTGTGTACCAACGACTTCATATATATTTCTTAACGAAGTGGAATAAATTACTGCATACTTTACTTTTAGTTACGAAGCTACTCAAAATACAAAGTTGTACGTAAAATCCATCAATGTCTCTCTTTATATTAGGATATGCGCGTAAGCAACCCCAAGTCCTGTTCATGTGTACCCTGCGGGAATCCCTCTTCGGGTTGAGTGAAATGTATAAATAATTGAGCTCAACCTGAACACTCTAGATAGGACAGGGATGGATAATGCAAACGCTCGCTGTGCTAACTTTCCGAGCTGTTCCCGTCAAGCGCGGGACATGCGTAACTGAGTAACCTTTTCCCCAATCTGTCTACGACCTCCAAAAGCACAGATGAATAAGAGATAATAAGTTTTGGGCTAACCACTTGATTACCGACTATAAAAAAAGATGTTGTTGTGGTTTTGTAGCATGACCGCTGCAATCTTAGATCGAAAAATTTAACCACTACGCCATCGCACTTTTGGCGATATATTTTCTGTGAAATTATGTATTTTCGGTAGTAGTATCCTGAATGGAGAATGGTCGCGCTCCTCGTCAACCACGATTTAAGATCAATATTGGTAAATGATTGGTACAGACATACCTTGAAGACTTTTTACTGAGTCGTGGTGGTCGCCATGACGACATAAAAGCCCTTTGCAATGTGACGTCACTCTTCGCAGACTCTCGCTTTCTATATACATTTGAATATTGTTTTTTTTGCAGGTCTTCTTTAAATGATGTGTACAGTCATTACGGATCTTTAAAATATACCTTGCTCATTAAGTTCTTCATTTTTATAGTTAATTATAGGCATACTGTTAGAAACTATTTGAATAACTGTTACAAGAATAATTTTGAAATGGAAATATATAAAATTGTTTACGCAGATATACTCTTCCACTTTTTTAATATTTGAGTGCTTTAAAACAACTAAAATATATTTAAGCTATAGTCTCATATTCTTACTATGCACTCATGTTTGGCAAATATTGCTAGTATAACAAATCACTTGGTTTTATAAATGCACTTCACAAGTTTTATATTTGCCGAAATTATTTATGGATAAGTTTCACTATACTGTTTTATTTTGCAGAATAAAGTTTTAGTAGCAGTGTTAAGTTATAACGCCTTATCCAATAGTGTCAGCAATATGATCATAAATGTTTTAAGCTAACATACAATCTCAATGCCCTTAGCACCTTCGCGAGAGATATGTCGAAAATTTATGTTTTAAATGATTTTTATGGGATCATATTTAAATATATTCATATGTATGTAGTTATATATTTATATCTTATGTATTTACCTATATCCGGATATATCTTCGTAGTTAATGAACCGATATTAACAAGTTTTTAAATATCAACGGTTAAATAAGCTGTAAAAAACATATTTAAATCTGAAATTCGTATTTAGTCTTTTTATCGTTTTTTTTAAGGTGATAAATCTTTTAAAGACAATCATTTGAGTTAAAGTGTATATTTGAATTTTCAAAAATCGTGTAGGATATTTTGTGTGAAAAAGATAACGCTATAAATTTGTTGAGGTTTTGATTGTCGAACGGGAATTTTTGAAGAACCTGACATCACTTCTGCTGCACAGATACTCTTCACGAATACGATTTTAACAAAATTACAAGAACGATTCGAAAATTTCCGACACCTCGTTCGTTGGTTAAACAGAATAAGCCCTCTGTTTGTGTCGCTAGTAATTTTGTAAACACATTTTTCCTTCAAAATATAAGACAAAAGTTTTATGCCAGAAACAAAATCGTTAAGCTTTATCTGTGTGGCCACGTAAAATTATTCCCAGGGGAACGTATCCTGATACATTTTCCGTGTCTCACTGGATTACGGCAATGCACCCTTTTAGTGTATTGCCTGTTTGGAAGTCCATCTGGGCCATCCCTTCGACGTCACCGTTGATTAGGGAGTACTTATTTATACCGGGATAGGCAACATCACGAACTTGATTCTTTGTTGTAGCTCCCTTGAATAAGAATGGTCGACAATTACGTATTTTGACTTCTTACAGATTGAAATGATAGTTTTTTACTTGATTGCTACCACGTGCCTATTTTGGCGCTGTTGCAAGTGCCATGATCACGGGCTAGCTAAAAAAATAAGGTACATGATAGCAACGCCTTAAAAAACTATCATTTTAATGTAAACGACCATGAAAGATTAAAACAATATATTTTTACTGAATTAATTGAAATAATATATCGATACAATATGCTTTATGTTATAACATTAATATAAAGTATAAACGTGATCAGTGTGACAAGGACACGGGATGAGGATAAAAAAAACATTAACGACGTATATAGTAATTTATGGATAACTCCTAAATGGTTTGTTAGTAATTTATTGAAAAATTTAAGGGTTTAAGGGTAGCACCTTAAATATTTTATTAAATGTTATAAAAACATCAATATTATTAAAAAAGTTCTATTTAGCGAAATAAGTATGTTATCATTCTTTATTGTCTCATTAACAGGCCACGCCTTTTCCACACGTTTTCTCATCACCTTTACTAGGTAAAACTGTTAACATTCTTAATTGTTTTATATCAGTTACCATAGTGGTATCGCTAAGAAATGTTTACCCTTATAATGGTAAACTACTTCAGTTATACCTCCACGGCAGTATATCTCGTTCGACAGTAATGCTGCCGTGACGGCAGATATCTCTAATAGGATCAGGCACAGTTCGTTACTTGCAACGAAAATGTAGACCTCCGTGAGTACCATTAAGCACAAAAGATATAAATTGCTTTCAGAATTTGTTGCTGCTTTAATATGTGGACTCTAGATGTTACTTCCATTACGTAACTGCATATTATATAAATTATTTGCAGGAGAAATATAAAGTTGGGCTAATAATACTGCCCTGTGGTAAACCGTAGTAATAGTTTGTGGTCAATATTAAAAAGTTGTTTTATGTCACTGAGGTAATCTTGAAATTATTTCAGTGGGATACCTCAATTATTTCAGAGGTGAAGAATCGATATAGTATCAAAAGCTTTGGTCAAATCTATGAAAAATTATTTATCCTTTATCATTAAGATCACCTTTTTGTTAATTAAGTTTGTGAGTTTAACAACCACATTGGATGTTGAAATGAACTGTCGAAAGAAAAGATTCTTAGAAAAATGTTATATTTTAAATATGTAATTAATTATTATACATTTTTCGTTCCAGAATTATGAAAGGAAGAATATTGATGACCGCTTAGTTGTTAATATTCTCTCACTTCGTCATTAAGTATACAAGATCTGGGATAAACATCTGTTAATACAGAATTGGTATTAACAGAGCAGAATAATTTATAGTAATAATTTACTCTCAATAATAAAATAAACTAATAAATCTAATTTTACATTGGGTTTAATTAATATCTATAGCTATCGTAAAATCTAATAAGTTTACTTATCTTATCCTAGTTATTTTCATAATTAAAAACGCAGTTTGACAAGACTAAACCAAAATTTATTCTAGTTTGTGCAATGGAATTGCTACTATTCCCAGTTTGCAAATGTTGAGTTACGTGAGGAGTGATAAATCATTAGTACGAGTAGGAAGTAATTAGAAAATTCGCGCTGTATTATGGATTCTTTATTGTGTATCCTCATCATCATGCGTAAGTATTAGTATAAAACTCCGTTTTCTAATTGACAAAACACGACGCCACTTCGATAGATGCTGTGACCTTTGATAGATTTTATGAAAATTGTACAAATAACCAATGTATTTCTATTGTTATTATTCTTATGCAGCGATTATCATTGCTTAAATACCAGTGCTTTAATCTTTTCTTATGGAAAGAGTAGTTTAATTTTTTAATTTGTTAGCATTGAGGTTAAATTGCTATGATTTTTTGCCAGGCGTTTAAATATTACTTTAATAACATTATCATAACAACGGAAAATGGGCTGCCATTTTTATAGTTGCTTTTGTTGTGTGTAATCGAAAGAGTTCTAGCTTCACATCATTAATTTGACAACGAAAGCAACCGTGGAAAATGTACAAAAAAAGGATTCTTTGATCAATACATCATCATCGCTCATCATGTTTCCATTCAAAATTAAACTCTATTCCGATAACGGAAGGTGAATTATATTGAGATTGTATTCATGTTGCGATCCCGTATTGCTTGGTATTGATATTTCAGTGA